GTTCGGATTTTTCTCTTTTCCTCTTCCTTTCTACTCTTTAAATATTCCGTGTTCTTCGACCTCAGTACCACGTGCCTCGTCTCGGTTGGGGCCGAGTGGCACCTTTCTTTCTAAACTCTACACCTTTTGTTTTGTTCCCTGGGGTGGTGTAAATTCATCACTTCATCCTTTTAGAGGGTAGCACTTTCTATACCCTTCCCTCTACCCCCTTTCTGTTGGGCCCCCCCCCGCCTCCCTCCTACCCCCCCCCCCCCCTCCCCCCTCCCCCAAGACGCCTTTGCGTATACTATTCTTTTTTTTTTCTTTTTTTTCCCTTCGCTTTTTGTTTTCTACAGACTCTGTGCCGATACTTTCCTGCTCCATTTTCCCCTTGTCAGATCAGCCCTCTGCCTTGGCACTTCTCCAGTGCTTCAGATAGAGATTGTTTTTCTGTGGGAGAATGCCCAGCGAGGGAGAAAGAGACTGAGCCAGGGCCAGAGACAGAGACAGGGACAGCCAGCCAGACGGCCGGACAGACAGACAGACAGACAGACAGACAGAGAGAGAGACAGACAGAGAGAGAGAGAGAGAAGAGAGAGAGGGTGTGTGTGAGTGTGTGTGTGTGTGGGGGGGGGGGGGAGAGAGAAATTCAATAGGCCGGTAACACCGTGTGGGTTAGCATAATATTATAAAATAATAGAAATCATACGGTTCATTGCTTTTGGAGTCAGATGTTATCATTACGTAAATACCTTGTATAATGTCACTCACCGCGCGTCCTAATTACGTAATAAACATAAGGGGGCGTGGGTGAATAGAACAGGCGTATGGCGGTAACAGAGGACTAAAACTAACATCATAATCATATAATAAATAATAATAATAAAATATTATCTCCAGTTACAGTTAGATCTACATTGCTTACTCGCTAACCCGATGCGTCTGTGTTTTAATGGTTCTTTCGCTTCGCCTTACCCGCTAACTTAAAAACACGAGATCGATTTCGACACAGTAAAAGTTGCCCCGTATTTCAGATTAATAATAATTATGTTCACCATTGAGCACTTAGGCCTTGACAAGCAGGGTGATATCATTGATATATGTGATGTGTAATTGAAAGAAAAAAAAAGTTGAAAGCAAAAAATTTTTAAAATATAAGATTCTATAGGCCTACTAGATCTATACATTTTATAAATATAAAATCTATATATTTTTTCTTTTAAAATTGAAGTTTCTTTTGTTGTTTTTTTAAACTGTTGCCACCTACGCATTTCCCACCATATAATAATATGTACATGTATAGGCTATATATATATATGTGTGTGTGTGTGTGTGTGTGTGTGTGTGTGTGTGTGTGTGTGTGTGTGTATCTATTCAGCTATCTGTCTGTCTTCTATCCATCTATCAGTCTAACACTATACAATACTACTACTAGTGATATAATCTCTCTGCTTCTGTTCTGAGCATATGGTTGTTGTTTTTTTCGTTTTATTTAATTTTACATGTATTCATCTATTCATCTTTTTCTTTGCGAGTGTGCATGTCTATTGGCATGTATGTGTACAAGAAAACACAGCCTGCCACAAACTTTCAAAGATGAGCAGTCCCAAAACATTGGTGCGCTGAGGTAACGTTTCAGCTAATTAGGCCTTTAATAAATGCATGTAATTATTAACCAGATTAAATAAGGGATATTTTAACTTTGCCTTCTTATTTCAACGTGTGTGCTCAAACTGAGTGACGACCTCTACGGTGCTGAGCATACTAAATACTAGTAATATACTAATAGTAAATAGTATAATTAAAATTTAAAAAAAAAGAAAACAGCAACATAGATAACCTATCACATAGATAGATAGATATATAGATAGATATATAGATAGATAGATAGAGAGACAGACAGATAGATAAATAGATAGATAGATAGATAGATAGATAGATAGATAGATAGATGATAGATAGATAGATAGATAGATAGATAGATAGATAGATAGATAGATAGATAGATAGATAGATAAATGATTTAAGTTCCTTACCTTTGGTTGCACAGAAAAATCCACTTTAACAAATTTAAAAAAAAAAAAATAAGGGCACAATCCGTGGTCTGAATGAGAGAATTCCTTCGCGAGTCACCAACTTGCTGTGCTGCCTCTGGTGTGGTTTTATAGGGAGGGAGTCAAATTGAACTAGTCAATTATTTCTCATTGTCCGCCGATGTGAAAGCTGGTGACAGCCGACATCAGCTCATATTCAGTACACCTGTTCCCGTCTACTAGTCTACTTTTGTCTCTGTCTTTTCGTGACAGAGAATGCGTGTGTGTGTGTGTGTGTGTGTGTGTGTGTGTGTGTGTGTGTGTGTGTGTG